TGGTCTACGGCTCAGAGTCACATGGAATGGGCTCGGAATGAGAAAGAGATCGTGTATGGCGCCCTACTTCTTCAGGAACATAGATTGGAACACGAGCAGATCAAAGCGGCTCGCAATTGGTGTCACAAAGCTGGATACATGTCATGGTTCGCGGAGGCGGCGCGGACGGGAGTGGGGCGCCGTGAGACGTCTGGAGGAACGGCTATCCTATGTAAGGCACATTTCGGTAGCAACGGCCACGGGCAGAGCTGCTGGTCGGAGAGGCTCTGCGTGGTCAAGATCATGGTGCACCAGTCTTTCCCGTTCCTTTTTGCCTCAGTGTATGGCCGCACCACGCTTGGGCTCGCTGGCGCCAACATCACCTTTTTAGAGGAGCTCAGCGAAGCCGTGGCCTCGGCGGGCTGCCCGTTTGTCATCGGAGGGGACTGGGGCATTGATGCGGAGCAGCTGATCGCATCCCAATGGGCAGATCACCTCGGGGCGACAGTGGTCAGGCCCCCAGGAGCGACGCGCCACAGTAACTGCTACGACTTTTTTGTAGTCAGCCGCTGTTTAGAATACCATGTTAAGGAGTGCATTGAGCAGCCTGACGCACCAGTGGGGCCGCATTCTGCAGCTGTGCTCCAACTGAGGCAGGTGGCTGGACAGGCCAAAGTGCGGCAGCGCGCGGTGCCTCGCAGTTTCCCGCTGCCCAAGGATGAGGAGGAGAAGGCGCGCATGCAGTGGGGTCCTAGCCAGCAGCCGCCCCTCCTTGATTGGGCTTCTCTCTCGTCCCACGCAGCAATGGAACAGTGGTTTGATGCTGCGGAGTCGGCGTTAGGCCGCATGCATCGGCTAGAAGACAAGCAGTATTTTGGCCGAGCCAAGGGCTGCCAGGTTCAGTTAGTGCCGCTAGAAGCATCGTGGGGTCAGGCGCTGCACAGGCGCTCCCTCCCTGGTACCCAACGTTGGTTGTCTTTGAGACGTTTGACCCTGCAGTCTATGAAGGCGGCGACTGACGTCCGACGGAGGCGCCTGCTAGATTCGGCCAGGCCGCTGCAAGACCTGCTGCGCGACTGTCGGTAGATGAACTTTTTCAGGGCCTAGAGGGCCCCAGTCGTGGGGACTTAGTGAATGCCATCCAGCGTGTTGTAGACAGTAGAGTGCAGCAGGAGACAGCGGAAGGCCGAAAGAAGTGGAGATCGTGGGCTCAGTCGTCGGTCGGTCGTGGAGGTCGGGCGGCTCGCAGGTACTCGAAAGGCCCCGCTCAGCCTCCTTTGCCAGTCCTGGGTGATGATGATTTCACAGAGCAAGTGGGAGGACCCAGGCCGCTTGTAGGGCAGGCGGCACTAGATCGCATTTTGCGAGATTGGATCCAGGTTTGGACCAATCCAGCGAGGGACGCTGAAAGCCCCCCGAGTGAGTGGTCGGTCCCTGAGGACCTGCCGCCGATCGCGGCAGAACAGGTGCTTGAAGCGGCGGCTACTTTTAGCCCCTCGACGACTCTGGGCTGGGACTCCTTCAGCCCGCGTCTCCTTCTTCAGCTCCCCAGGCCGCTGGTTGAGGCCTTTGCTGGGATCCTTACGGCTTGGGGGCAGCCCCCTGCGGGGGGGCCCCTCTGGATGGTCTTAGTGGTCTTTCTAGACAAGCCCACGGGAGGGGTGAGGCCCATTGGGCTTCTTCCCCTCTGGGCCAGGGTCTGGGGCCGCATTCGGCATAGGCTCTGTGCGGCCTGGGAACGAACGGTGAATGCGAAAATTTTCTGGGGCCTCAGCTCGAGCACGGCTTGCGACAAGAGTGCGTGGGCCCACAATGCTCTGAACGCTTGCGCGCGCACCGTCCCAGGTCTGTCCACGGCGACGCTGTTTCTTGACCTGCGCAAATTTTACGAACGCAGTTCGCACGAAGAGCTGCTGGCAGCGGCCCAGGCTAGCTCATTTCCGATAGCGCTCCTGCGAGCGTACTGTTGCCTTTATCGAGGCCCGAGGCGTGTGACTTGGCAGGGCGCGATCAGTCGGGTGATCCAGCCTAGTGGCACGGCCGTTGCAGGTTGCTCGGGGGCCACCACGTTTGCCAGGTTTCTGTTGCTTGGAGTTATGCGCAAGGCCACGGTTGGCAACCCGACAGTGCGCATTAAGAACGTCATTGGTGATGTCTCGCTGCATGCAGTTGGTGGTGAGACAGTCATCACGAGGGAACTGGCAGCTTCTTTTCGGTCTGTGACGACGGACCTGCAGCGCGTGGGCCTGCCCATCGCCATGAATAAGCTGGGCTTACTGGCTTCCTCCTCGGAGCTGGCACAGGAGCTGTCCAGGCAGTGTGATTTGCCCGCCAACGTGCGCGCCCAGGTTCACAGGGACCTAGGTGGGGACGCCACGGACGGAGCCAGGCGGCGAGTGAGCACCCAGCATGAGAGATTTGTTGAGTCCCACCAGAAAGTGGCGAAGGTCCTAGCGCTTCGAGCGGCTGGGGCTCAGTGTGGCACCATTTTTAGGGCAGGCGTCGCGTCGAAGGCCCTCTGGGGGGCCAACATCCAGGGCCTCCCCAATGGCAAGCTGAAGCAAGTTCGGCTTGCAGCTGTTAGGGCGGAAGGGAGGCCCCCTAAAGGATGCTCCCTGGAGTTGGCCTCGATGAGTGTGAGGGGAGGTTGGGCTAGGGATCCGTTGGTCGTCCTAACGGCCGATGCTCTCCGCACCTACCGCCAGATCCTCAAAGATCAGCGCCCAGCACCTGTGGTGGTGCAGTCCTTTTTTTTTTCCCAGTGGTCAGGAGTTGCTTCAGTTGCCCAGGCCTTGGGCCCGTGTTCGAGACCCCATTGCGGCCCTCATTCTCACGTGTGCTCGAGTGGGCCTTCCTTTTGAGGACCCATGGACCCCGAAGGAGGCCACGGGGGAGGTTTGGGGTCTTCGCCAGGTCTCCCCAGCGCTCCTGGCCAGGAGGGCCCGATTCGCTGCTCGGCGTTTCTCGGACAAGGAAGGACTGGCCAAGATTGGCCTTGGTCAGGGCTGGTCGGGTGACATCTTTTGGTGGCCTTTGAATGACTTCTGCATGGACGCTGGAAGCTCGATGGGGGTGACGGTGGGAGAGGCGGGCGGTGGGGGATTCGTGAGCAGAGGACTCTCCGAGGTCTTGTGATTGGCTCGCATTGGTGCCAAGCGCGGCTTCACAGACATGACCCTGCCCTGCCGTCGCACTGTCTCCTATGTGGGGAAGATATCGGCCGCCTGTTCCATCGTCATTTTGATTGCCCCGCTTGGCTAAGCTGGCGTCGAGGTGACTTGCCGCAGGACCTGGGTGGCCCAGTGAGGCGTTTGCGGGTAGGGCCAGCGCGCCTGCAAGAAAGGTTTGCTAGGGGGATCCTTCCCGACCCTTGCCAACTGTTCTCCCGACCTGGGCGGGGCCCTGAGTGGGAGTTCAAGGTTGAAGGTCAAGCGGCGCCGCTGGCGCTAGATGGTGGCCATGTTTTTTTTGTGATGGCTCTGGGGTCGATGGTTTTTTCCCGTCCTTTAGGGTTGCTGGTTGGGGTGTGGCGGTTTTCGACCAAGATCGCCGACCCCTGGCGGGGTGGTATGGGGCGGTCCCCCCAACACAAGGCCCCGACCAGGTAGCCAGAGACGGGGAGGATTACGCCACCCTGGTGGCCCTGAGACATCCAGTTGGCAGGTATACGACTTATTCCGACTGTAAAGGCACAATTCAATGTTGTAGGAATGCCAGATATGCGCAGAGAGATAGCAACACTCGGGCACACATTTGGAGAGAGGCATTCCGTGAAGGAGCGCCCGCTCTGGTGAGTTTTTGCAAAGTGGCGGCCCACACGTCGACGACAGGTGTGGGCGAGGGACGAATCAGCCACTTTGAGAGGGAGGGCAATGCAGAAACCGATCGACTTGCGAAGTCGGGGGCGGAGCTATGTCGCTGCCCGTCCAATGTGGTTTTGATGACCAAGAACATGCTCCATGTCTCACGCCTGCTCCCTCAGTTCATTAGTAGGGCTGAAGACCACTATGTTCAGGAAGGCAGGTCGGACAACGTGGGAGCCCAAGGGCTCACAGAGATCTCCCTGGAGGGGGGATCTGACTTGGAGGAAGCACTTGAGGCGTTGAGGAGGCAGGAGGGGGGAGGAGGTGAAGCTGCTGCTGCTGCTCCTGCTCCTCATCCTGACCAGCCTCCACAGTCCTCGAGACCTCCAACGGAGCCCTTGGTGCCCGAGCTGCTGGCGTTGGCAGAGGATGCCCGCCAGACCCCTGCCTTCTCAGGGGGGCATGCCTTACTTCAGTTCGCGGCTGAAGACAGTCAGCCTCCCATCCTTTTTTGTTCAACCTGCGGGGGGTATGCCACTGTGCCTGCGGGATCCAGAGGCCTACGTAAGAGCTGTGGAGGGTCCCAGCAGGCCTTGGTGGACCCAGGCAGGAAGAACACTCGGGCAGTCTGCAAGGGCAAGCACCCCAACAGGCCTCTCAAACTGGGCTCTTGGCGAACTCCTGGGGCTTGGGCGCGGGAGCTGGTTGGGGGGGGTGTCGGAGTCCAAGAAGGCCCAGAAGAGAGAAGGAAGTGTCTCCAGGGCCGCTACGGACCCACCTGCACGTGCAATTTTGTGCCTGGCAGATGTCCTGCAAGCGTTTGGGCTCAACGAAGTTGAAGCCGCTGAATTGGGGCGGAAGCTGAAGGAGCGTGACCCAGACAACGATCTGGAAGAGGAACTTGGCGGCTAGATACTCAGGGGGGGCCCTGTCGCTGGCCCCTGGCAGGTCTGGGCTGTCCTGCCAGGGTGACAAAAAGTTCCCCTCGGATGGGCCCCCCTGGGTTTGCTTTTTGGACCGTCTGACTTTCTCTCCCCCCTTTCCCCTCAGTGGCGTGCGATCCTCCTCCTCCTCCTCCTCCTCCTCCTCCTCCTCCTCCTCCTCCTCCTCCTCCCCCTCCCCTTCCCCCTCCCCCACTGCTGCTCCTCTTCGCCCTCCTCAGCTCGGACCGGGTCGATCGCAGGGTCGCCGTGGCGCCGCGCCCCAGCCCGGCCGCAGGGCGACCTCTTCGGCTGGTGCGAGCGGGAGCCGTTCCCTGGCAAGGCGCGCGAGGACGGGGCGGGTGATCCCCGACATCTTCGGGCCCCCCAAACCCAGACCTCTTCGAGCAATGAAAGAATAATGACGGGAGGTTCCCGGAAAGGGCTTGAGCCCAGGGTTTTCTTTTAGATGGTTTCCCCCCGGGTTTGACGGGAAGAGGGCCGGCGAATTTCTTTTGCGATAAATAACGAGTGGGAAGAGGGCCGGCGAATTAAAATTTGAGGATGTCCCTAGCGAAACGCTTGTTTTTGAAATCGCGATCGATAAATCACAGGGTGCGGGACACGTTTTGGTCAGGGGCACGGACCCAGGAAGCCCCAGGAGGCCCCAGGATGTTTAGGGAATGCCCAGGAGGCCCCAGGAGAGCCCAGGAGGCCCCAGGAGGCCCCAGGACGTCCCAGGACGTCCCAGAAGGCTTCAGGAGGCCCCAGAAGGCTCCAGGAGGCCCCAGGAAAGCCCAGGAGGCCCGAGGAGGCCCCAGGAAGGCCCAGGAGGCCCCAGGAAGCCCCAGAAGGCCCCAGGAGGCCCCAGGAGGCCACAGGAGGCCCCTGTGGCTGCACCACATACATCGCACCACATAGATTGTACCACATAGATCGCACCATCACGCTTGTTCCGCTCAGGGGCGAAAGGGACCCACGTGTTTTCACGCTTATTCCGCTCAGGGGCGAAAGGGACCTACGTGTGTTCACGCTTGTTCCGCTCAGGGGCGAAAGGGGCCCACGTGTTTTCACGCTTGTTCCGCTCAGGGGCGAAAGGGACCCACGTGTTTTCACGCTTGTTCCACTTTTGGGCGAAAGGGACCCGCGTGTTTTCACGCTTGTTCCGCTCAGGGGCGAAAGGGACCCACGTGTTTTAACGCTTGTTCCGCTCAGGGGCGAAAGGGACCCACGTGTTTTCACGCTTATTCCGCTCAGGGGCGAAAGGGACCCACGTGTTTTCACGCTTGTTCCGCTCAGGGGCGAAAGGGACCCACGTGTTTTCACGCTTGTTCCGCTCTGGGGCGAAAGGGACCCACGTGTTTTCACGCTTGATCCGCTCTGGGGCAAAAGGGACCCACGTGTTTTAACGCTTGTTCCGCTCTGGGGCGAAAGGGACCCACGTGTTTTCACGCTTGTTCCGCTCAGGGGCGAAAGGGACCCACGTGTTTTCACGAGGGGCAAAAGGGACCCACGTGTTTTCACGCTTGTTCCGCTCAGGGGCGAAAGGGACCCACGTGTTTTCACGCTTGTTCCGCTCAGGGGCGAAAGGGACCCACGTGTTTTCACGCTTGTTCCGCTCAGGGGCGAAAGGGACCCACGTGTTTTCACGCTTGTTCCGCTCTGGGGCGAAAGGGACCCACGTGTTTTCACGCTTGATCTCTTCTGGGGCAAAAGGGACCCACGTGTTTTAACGCTTGTTCCGCTCTGGGGCGAAAGGGACCCACGTGTTTTCACGCTTGTTCCGCCCAGGGGCGAAAGGGACCCAAGTGTTTTCACGATTGTTCCGATCTGGGGCGAAAGGGACCCACGTGTTTTCACGCTTGATCCGCTCTGGGGCAAAAGGGACCCACGTGTTTTAACGCTTGTTCCGCTCTGGGGCGAAAGGGACCCACGTGTTTTCACGCTTGTTCCGCTCAGGGGCGAAAGTGGCCTTGGGGCCTCCTCGGGTTCGAGCCCCTGGGGCCTCCCGGGGCCTCCTGAGGCCTCCTGCGGCCTCCTGGGGCCTCCTGCGGCCCCCCAGCACGACCACACCCCAGCACGCCCCCCAGCACGCACGACCCCAGCACGCACCCCCAGCACGCAACCACACCCCAGCACGACCCACCCCAGCACGACCCTACCCCAGCACGACCACACCCCAGCACGACCACACCCCAGCACGACCTCCCACAGCACGACCACGCCCCAGCACGACCACGCCCCAGCACGACCACGCCCCAGCACGACCACGCCCCAGCACGACCACGCCCCAGCACGACCACCCCCCAGCACGACCACCCCCCAGCACGACCACCCCCCAGCACGACCACCCCCCAGCACGACCACACCCCAGCACGACCACACCCCAGCACGACCACACCCTCTGGTTGAGTGGTTGCCGTGGTGTTCGTGGGGTGTCTCGTGGAATGTTTCACGGGGTGTCTCGTGGAATGTTTCGTGAGGTGTCTCGTGGAATGTTTCGTGAGGTGTCTCGTGGGATGTTTCGCGGGGTGTCTCGTGGGATGTTTCGTGAGATGTCGCCCAGTTGGGTATCGTGAAAACGTGACCATGCTGCACATGTCTTTATCCCTTTCCGGGTTCGTGGGTCCATCATGTTTTTCTCCATTTTCGGCCGCTGGGGGCCCTCACCGGGCCTCGGGACCGTCAAAAAATTACACAGGATGACAAACCGGTCCTGGGGAGGGGGTCGAGATCTCTGGGGGTCGACGTCATGAAAAAATCACTACGTCGGGGGTCTGGGAACCCAGACCCCCTCGGGCAATGAATAAATCATGGCGGGAGGTTTTTCCTGATTTTTGGCCTCTGGGGGCCCTTGCCGGGCTTCGGGGCCGTCAAAGACCGACGCAGGATGAGAAGCCGTTCCTGGGGAATGGGTTGAGATTTCTGGGGCTCGACACAATGCAGCAAATCATGACGTCGGGGGTCTGGCAACGGTAGCGTGACCACACGGTGTGGTGAGTCAGTGGGGATTCGGGGTGACCGCACGGTTTTGGGACTCGGATCGGTCCCCGAGGATGCTTCGGGCAATTGGGGCTTCCAGTCTCTCTCCCTCCCTCTCTCTCTCTCTCTCTCGCTCCCTCGTTCTGTTCCCCCCCTCTTTCTCCCAGTCATGCGACGTCCGATTTTTTCAATACGCGCTCCCCCGCAGTCCCGACCCTTTCCCTGCGGCCTGTCCCTGTGTTTTGTTCCCGGAAAGGGCCTAGGCCCAGGGTTCTCTTTTAGTGGATTTACCCCCGGGTCTGGCGGGAAGAGGGCTGGCGGATTTCTTCTGCGATAAATAACGAGTGGGAAGAGGGCAGGCGAATTAACATTTGAGGATGTCCCTAGCGAGACGTTTGTTTTTCAGAATTTGTTTGAGGATGTCTCGAGCGAAACGTTTGTTCTGGGGACCTGAATTCAGAGGATCTCTCAAGTGAAATGCTTGTTTTCACGTGCCCAGGTCTTGAGGATGTCTCGAGCGAGACGCTTGGTTTCACGCCTCCAGGTTGCCCAGACAGGTGTCTAGCATGAGGATCTGTTGAGGATGTCTCGAACCAGAGGCTTGTTTTCACGTGTCCAGGTCGGCCAGGCTGATGCCTAGCATGAGGATGTGTCGAGGAAGTCTCGATCGAGACGCTTGTTTACACGTGTCCAGGTTGCCCAGGCGGATGTCTAGCATGAGGATGTGCTGAGAACGTCTTGAGCGAAACGCGTGTTTTCACGTGTCCAGGTCGCCCAGGCCCTCGGCACGGTACATCAATATCGATACCCTTAGCATTGCAGCCTGGCATGTTGCTTGGCACGTTCCGCGGAGCGTCCCGTGGCGAGTCCCCGTGGCACGTCGCGCGGTGCACGTCCATTGGCACGTTCCGTTACGCGTCCCGTGGCACGTCCCGCGGTGCGTGCCCATGGCACGTCCCCTGGCACGTCGCCTGGCGCATCCCTTGGGACGTTCCGCGGCGTGTCCTCTTGGCATGTCCCCTCTGTCGATTCAGCTCTGGGGCATCTACCATCTGCTCAGGCAGCTCGAGCTTAAGATCCAGATCAGTTCGGTCAGGACTCGGATGCAAAGAGGACTCGATCCCCAGCGCTGTATATATATAGAGAGAGAGAGAGCACAATCGCGGCATGGCACATCGCAGTTCAGCGCGGCCCAGCACAGCATAGCCGTCGGCACGGTACATCAAGATCGGTACACTCAACATTGCATCTTGGCGCGTTCCGTGGCGAGTCCCCCTGGCACGTCGCGCGGTGCGTCCCCTGGCACGTCCCTCGGCATGTCCATTGGCACGTTCTGTAGCGCGTCCTCTTGGCACGTCCCGCGGTGCGTGCCCATGGCACGTCCCCTGGCACGTCGCCTGGCGCGTCCCTTGGGACGTGCCGCGGCGCGTCCTCCTGGCATGTCCCCTCTGTCGATTTAGTTCTGGGGCATCTACCATCTGCTCAGGCAGCTCGAGCTTAAGATCCAGATCAGTTCGGTCAGGACTCGGATGCCAAGGAGGACTCGATCCACAACGCTATATATAGAGCGCAATCGCGGCATGGTACATCGTAGTTCAGCACGGCGTGGCACAGCACAGTCCTCGGCACAGTACATCAAGATCGATACCCTGTCGCCCAATCAGGTGTCTTTGAAACGTTGCCATGCCTTACATCTCTATGTTCCTTTCCGGGTTCGTGGGTCGATCATGTTCCCGGAAAGGGCGGGGGCCCAGGGTTCTCTCTTAGTATGGTAAACCTGTCCCCGGTGCCTCAAGTGAAGGACGTCGGCGGATTTTCTCTTTGATAAATATCGAAGTCGAAGGGCGCCGGCGGATTAAAATTTGAGGATGTCTCGAGCGAAACGCTTGTGTTTGAAATCCCGATCGATAAATCACAGGGTGCGGGCGGCTCTTTCGTGTGTTGAGGATGTCTCGAGCGAAACGCTTGTTTTCAGAATTTGATGAGGATGTCTCGAGCGAAACGCTGGTTTCGCTGAGCCGACCGCGACGCGGAAAAGCGCCCCGCGCGCAGGAATTCCGAGGATGTCTCGCGCGTGCTGCGTCCCGCGCGCAGGAATTTCGAGGATGTCTCGACTAATTCGCTTATTGTTCTAGGACTTCTTGGGATTTTGGCAGGATGTCTCGAGCGAAATGCACGACCCCACCCTAGCACGACCACGCCCCAGCACGGCCACACCCCAGCACGACCACACCCCAGCACGACCCCACCCCAGCACGACCCCTCCCCAGCACGACCACACCCCAGCACGACCACACCCCAGCACGACCCCACCCCAGCACGACCCCACCCCAGCAAGACCACACCCCAGCACGACCACACCCCAGCACG